CAACAATACAGTCCTCTATAGAAAGCCTCTTGTTTTATGTCAGAAAGAACGATTGCGCTGCTATCTAATTGACTCAGGCATATTCTGTCATCAGATTACTAAATGAATAAACAGTTACGGATGAGATGCTCTAGATTCACAAGATACAGTGCATCTCTTCTATTGTTCATTGATTTGTCTAACGTCTCGTTGCTCTTTGTTATTCTGCCTGATGCATTTTGCGAGAAAAATATGAAAGTAACCAACTCTATTTTAAAAGCTGACTTTATAATCATACCATAAAGTTAAATGTCTAGAACTTTCAAGATAAACAATATTTTGTCTCAATAGCTTAATACAGCTTTTTAAACTGTATTATAGAGCAACGAAGCCCTGACTCTAACTCCAATGAGATTTTTACAACTATAACTTAGATCCTAGAGATCCTATATGAATTTCGGGACTGCAAATTATTATTATAAATGTTCTATAAATCCCACGGAAATGCCGGCAATCCTATGGAAATCCCGGAAATCCCATGGAAATCCCAGAAATCCCATGGCAATCCCGGCAATCCCATGGAAATTCCGGAAATCCCATGGAAATCCCAAAATCCAATGGAGATCCCAAAATCCCATGGAAATCCCAAAATCCCATGGAAATCCCGGAAATCCCGGAAATCCGAAATCCGCCGTTTCCCCCTTGCATGCTAGACAATGATTAATTCTAGATGGTTGAACAAGAACTGTACAAGTCTATTCTTCGTTTACAATTCAAATGCCCAATATCATTGCCTGGTTCGAACTTTTGAATTGGAAAGATATATTCTGAATAATGACTTCATCAATCTCTTTGTCATTAATAAGTCTATTCATATACTTGCTGCATAAAATGAAGAGATTCGTTATTCAATAAATCATGGCCGTATCTTGTTCGTCAACTACATTTATTTAATTGTATTAGTATAAAAAGTGTGAATCGATGATAATTTTCATATTATTTTAAACTATATAATTATCAGAGAACACGACGTCCTCCATTTTGAAGCAGGATGGTTGAGAGCGATAGTCATTTTTAATGTTGATGCAAATGATTTGTGGAACGATTTTAAAAGGAAAATTGATCGGATGGGTCATTCGATAGAAGGACTTTTCTACACATGATGCAGAGATAATATCAATCGAGAATTCTACAAACTAACTCACAATTAGCAATGAATAAATTGAATTTCTTCAGTTCCTCTGGACTTAAAACTTGAAAAGATATTTGTCGAAAGTCTGATTTATTTGACTCGCGTTCATACCCACTTATCTGCCAGTAGTCAGATGAAATTTATCTATCTGTCTAGTTCAGTTTGTGATCTTTTTTCAGTAGGATGTACCAGAAAAACTGATATTGTTATCAGAACTCGAGTCTAACCGGTTCGGTTTTGGGCTGTGATTGTTATAGAGATGCGATATGTTGAATACAAAAAAGAGTAATTAGCAAAGTAGAATAAATTCATTGTTTTCTTTATTTGTTACATAGATAGGCAACTAACGTGGATTTATTTTTATTTTCACCTCGTATTTTGACGATTTCTAATGTGAAAATGAAAAACATTCGATAACTCATACTACGTGATTGCATCTTGTATAACGAAAGTTCATTTTAAAACTCTGCACTAATCTATGTAGTCTGATTGCAGGACGACGAACCTTTAATTGACAAAGAAAAAACACTTGATCAGAGAACAACTCACAGGAACGTTGTTTATTCAGATGTTCAAGAAATTAAAATGAAACCAGAAAAGAATAAATTCAAGTTCGGATAGTATCGATGGAGTTTGAAACAGATAACAGTGTAGCAATCTTGATGATGCAGTTTCATCGCAGTCATTCTCATATAGTTGTAAAACAAGTGTCGACATTCTTGACT